CGCAAAGGTCGAAGAAAGGCAAAATTTCAACAAAAAACGCACTAAAGTGAATTTTAGGGCAAAAAAGCGCAATAAACGACCCGAATTTTTGATAAAATATAAAAGACGAGGTTATGCCGAGTAAATAGATACCCAACATGTCAAATCTTAGATTTGCGTGCGCCTGTGAAATGGCGACAAACTGCGACTCTTTCTATAGGCGACGTTTCAAAAGCCCCTACAGGTCATCAGTTTGGTGCTACGGAGGAGGTCTTGTGCTACAATTGTCGCTCTCAGTCTGGCGTGTGCGGCGATATGCAACACGTGTTGACGTGTTCACGCATAGGCGCCCCCAAGCTTTTAGCTGTGATTGGACACGGGCAGGGGCGGACTGACAACTCATGGGGCCCCCGGGCAATAGGGGATCGTGGGGCCCCTGTGTCCTTGCCCAAACTCAAAAAAAGCCTATGAAAAAGGTACCAGGGGGCATCTCATGGGACCCCTACTGACCCCGGGCCCTCGGGCAGTGCCCAGGTTTCCAAATGGTCAGTCCGCCCCTGGACACGGGCGATCAGCAGCTCCTGGCCATGAATCATTGGCTGGGACCTGCCACAACAGAGCCAGTGGGCGGGCACATTGGACCTGGAAGAAAAATCAGGGGCGGACTGACCATTTGGAAACTCGGGCACTGACCGAGGGCCCGGGGTCAGTAGGGGGCCCCATGAGATGCCCCTGGTACCTTTTTCATAGGCTTTTTTGAGTTTGGGCAAGGACACAGGGGCCCCATGATCCCCTATTGTCCAGGGGCCCCATGAGTTGTCAGTCCGCCCCTGGGCGTACAGATATGCTATGGTGCCTGTACGGGGCCCCATCCACAGTATATGTACTGCAGCAGGTTGGCAAGCAGTTAAGTACCACTATGAAAGGGAACCCTGAAAGTCATTTTATTTATTTTTTTGTTTTAAACCCCAGGGGTTTATTGTGCTGTTTGTGTCCCTTTTTTTTTTTGGGGGGGGGGGGGTTCACCCTTTTTGGTTACCATTGTCCCGGAAATAGAGGATGAAGGAAAATCCCAAATTTTACATCCCAGACCAGGAGGTGATACCCTCACTTTGCTTATCTCCTCCTGTTGTGTCTTCTGGAAATTGTTCAAATGTGACAGTTGAAAAGAAAAAAAAACCTACATGGTTCTAATCAGGGGCGGACTGACAACTCATGGGGCCCCCGGGCAAAAGGGGATCATGGGGCCCCTGTGTCCTTGCCCAAACTCAAAAAAGCCTATAAAAAAGGTACCAGGGGCATCTCATGGGGCCCCCTACTGACCCCGGGACCTTGGGCATTGCCCGAGTTTCCAAATGGTCAGTCCGCCCCTGGTTCTAACCCCGCCCTACTCTATCCAAACATAAAAAATGAAAAATAAAGAAATGATATCAAATACTTACTATAACTTTCCTTTCCTGGCGCCAATCCATGGCAATGTACATGTGGTAGTACGCTGCCATGTTGGCGCCAGGAAAATTGTATCAAATACGTACCGTAACTTTCCTTTCCTGGCGCCATTCCATGGCAGCGTACTACCACATGTTTGATGCCATGTTGGCACCAGAAAAAAAAAGTTATGGCTGGACTTTTCAGGAAAATGGAAAATTGTATCAAAAATGGAAAATCGTATCAAATACGTACCACAACTTTCCTTTCCTGGCGCCAATCCATGGCAATGTACATGTTGTATGCTGCCATGTTGGCAACAGGAAAATTGTATCAAATACGTACCACAACTTTCTTTTCCTGGCGCCAATCCATGGCAATGTACATGTGGTAGTATGCTGCCATGTTGGCGCCAGGAAAATTGTATCAAATACGTACCACAACTTTCCTTTCCTGGCGCCAATCCATGGCCATGTACATGTGGAAATTTTCTGCCATGTTGCGCCAGGAAAATGGAAAATTGTATCAAATACGTACCACAACTTTACTTTCCTGGCGCCAATCCATGGCAATGTACATGTGGTATGCTGCCATGTTGGCGCCAGGAAAATTGTATCAAATACGTACCACAAACTTTCCTTTCCTGGCGCCAATCCATGGCCATGTACATGTGGAAATTTTCTGCCATGTTGCGCCAGGAAAATGGAAAATTGTATCAAATACGTACCACAACTTTCCTTTCCTGGCACCAATCCATGGCCATGTACATGTGGTAGTATGCTGCCATGTTGGCGCCAGGAAAATTGTATAAAAAATGGAAAATTGTAACAAATGCGTACCATAACTTTCCTGGCGCCAGTCCATGGCAGCGTACTACCACATGTTTGATGCCATGTTGGCACCAGAAAAATTTTTTACCACCAATGTAAGGGACGTTCTTCCCACTGACCCCCAATGTAAGGGACATTCTTCCCACTGACCACAAGTGTAAGGGGCATTCTTCCCACTGACCACCAATGTAAGGAACATTCTTCCCACTGATCCCCAATGTAAGGGACATTCTTCCCACTGACCCCCAATGTAAGGGACATTCTTCCCACTGACCCCCAATGTAAGGAGCATTCTTCCCACTGATCACCAATGTAAGGGACATTCTTCCCACTGACCACCAATGTAAGGGACATTCTTCCCACTGACCCCCAATGTAAGGAGCATTCTTCCCACTGATCACCAATGTAAGGGACATTCTTCCCACTGACCACCAATGTAAGGGACATTCTTCCCACTGACCACCAATGTAAGGGACATTCTTCCCACTGATCCCCAATGTAAGGGACATTCTTCCCACTGACCCCCAATGTAAGGAACATTCTTCCCACTGACCACAAGTGTAAGGGACATTCTTCCCACTGACCACAAGTGTAAGGGACATTCTTCCCACTGACCATCACACTAACATAGTGAGCTGTAGATTTAGGAATTTTAACACAGGGGTTCCCTGAGATCGGAAAGTTATTTACAGAGTTCCTCTTTGGGGAATGGCACCACCTGCCTGGAGTTTGCATGTTCTTCCCTATATGAGCAGCTTGGTGGGTAAATGGTTAGCACTACCACCTGGCACCAGAAAAAAATTTTATGGCTGGACTTTTCGGATATTTTTTTTTAAAATGTTGATATTAGGGTAGGTTTAGGTTTCTGTATAGGTCTATAGGCTGTATAGGGCAGGGGTGGACTGACAGCTCATGGGGCCCCCGGGCAATAGGGGGTCATGGGGCCCCTGTGTCCTTGCCCAAACTCAAAAAAGCCTATGAAAAAGGTACCAGGGGCATCTCATGGGGCCCCCCTACTGACCCCAGGACCTCGGGCAGTGCCTGAGTTTCCAAATGGTCAGTCCCGCCCCTGGTATAGGGCACCTGTCACACAGCAGTACATATCGGATGTTCCTATATCATGGACTGTATAGGTTGTCCCTGGTGTACAGGGAGGTGAAGTCCGGTACTTGAATTTGGTTTGTTTAGTTGAACTTCATAGATCTGCAAATGTCTGAGCTCCTCCAGACCCCGATGATGACGGCACCTCCAAGTCATTTTTCCATGAACTGCTTAACATCATCAGATCTTTCCACGAAGACACTTGTTTCTGCAGACCGCAGTCCTGTTTACAACAGACAGATCTGTCTCCCAAGGCCCCGGGTCGGTTCCTTCCTGGCTGCGACGTCTCATCAGCGAACGCGCGGTGCCACAGAGAATATTATCCATCCGCATTATGACTCTTCTCATATGCACACTGACAGCCCGCCATTAGAACTTCCGATTAGACACGCAGACAAAGATAGCATCAGTGCGGAGTGCTGCCATGGCAGACAACAGGATGTAAATGATGACATATGTCATGGAGGGAGAAGGGCTGACCACGCCGATCCCATCACAGCATCTCCACCGGGGCACAGCACTGCTGGCTTTTCTTTTCTTTTTCTTTTTCTTTTCTTTTCTTTTCCTTCCCTTCTTTCCCTTCTCCTCCCTTCATTATCTTCTCTTCTTTTCTCTTTTCCAGCACTGCACCCTTTCTATCTCTATCTCTCATTCTTTCTCTCTTTATGTTTTTTCTCCCTTTTCTCCCTACCTTCCCTTCCTTGTCTTCCATTCTTCTCCTTCATTCTTTCTTTTTTTTCTTTTCCTTTCTTTTCTTTTCCTTCCTTCCCTTCTCCTCCCTTTATTATCTTCTTCTCTTCTCTTCTCTTCTTTTTCCAGCACTGCACCCTTTCTATCCCTATCTCTCATTCTTTCTCTCTTTATGTTCTATTATCTTTTCTTTTTCTCCCTTTCCCCCTACCTTTCCCTTCCTTGTCTTCCACTCTTCTCCTTCATTCCTTCTTTTCTTATCTTTTCTTTTCTCTTCTTTCTTATATTCCTTCATTCCTTGTTATAGTCCTTTTCTTTTCTTCTCTTTCTTCTTATATTCCTTCTTTTCTTTTTTTTTTTTTATCTTTCTTTCTTCCTTTTTCTTTTCTTCTTATATTCCTTCTTTTCTTTTCTTTTTTTTTTCTTTTCTTTTCTCTTCTTTTCTTTTCTTCCTTCTTTTCTTTTCTTCTTATATTCCTCCTTTTCTTCTTTTTTATCTTTCTTCCTTTTCTTTTCTTTTCTTCTTATATTCCTTCCTTTCTTTTCTCTTCTTTTCTTTTCTTCCTTCTTTTCTTTTCTTCTTATATTCCTTCTTTTCTTTTCTTTATTTTTTTCTTTTTTTTTCTTATATTCCTTCTTTTCTTTCTTTTTTTTCTTTTCTTCTTATATTCCTTCTTTTTTAACTTTTCTTTTCTTTTCTTCCTATATTCCTTCTTTTCATTCTTTTTTTCTTTTTTCTCTTTATATTCTTTCTTTTCTTCCTTCTTTACTTCCTTCTTTTCTTTTCCTTTTCTTTCTTCTTATATTCCTTCTTTTCTTTTCTTTTTCTTTTCTTTTTCTTTCTGTCCCTCTCTTCCTTTCTCTTTCTACATCATGTTTTCTCAACCAGGGTTCCAGAGGTTTGAAGGGGTTTCTACCACAATGAGAAATTCCTACCTCTCAGATAAGTTCCCACTGACACCATTGATCTTTTTAGCTATCTGTAAGGGGGGAATTCTTTCCAATGACCACAAGTGTAAGGAGCATTCTTCCCACTGATCACCAATGTAAGGGGCATTCTTCCCACTGACCCCCAATGTAAGGGACATTCTTCCCACTGACCCCAATGTAAGGGACATTCTTCCCACTGATCACCAATGTAAGGGGCATTCTTCCCACTGACCCCCAATGTAAGGGACATTCTTCCCACTGACCCCAATGTAAGGGACATTCTTACCACTGACCACCAATGTAAGGGGCATTCTTCCCACTGACCCCCAATGTAAGGGACATTCTTCCCACTGACCCCCAATGTAAGGGACATTCTTCCCACTGACCCCCAATGTAAGGGACATTCTTCCCACTGACCTCCAATGTAAGGGATATTCTTCCCACTGATCACCAATGTAAGGAGCATTCTTCCCACTGACCACCAATGTAAGGAGCATTCTTCCCACTGATCACCAATGTAAGGGGCATTCTTCCCACTGATCACCAATGTAAGGGGCATTCTTCCCACTGACCACAAGTGTAAGGGACATTCTTCCCACTGACCACCAATGTAAGGAGCATTCTTCCCACTGATCACCAATGTAAGGGGCATTCTTCCCACTGATCACCAATGTAAGGGACATTCTTCCCACTGATCATCAATGTAAGGGACATTCTTCCCACTGACCCCCAATGTAAGGGACATTCTTCCCACTGACCCCCAATGTAAGGGGCATTCTTCCCACTGACCACCAATGTAAGGGACATTCTTCCCACTGACCACCAATGTAAGGGGCATTCTTCCCACTGACCCCCAATGTAAGGGACGTTCTTCCCACTGACCCCCAATGTAAGGGGCATTCTTCCCACTGACCACCAATGTAAGGGGCATTCTTCCCACTGACCATCACACTAACATAGTGAGCTGTAGATTTAGGAATTTTAACACAGGGGTTCCCTGAGATCGGAAAGTTATTTACAGAGTTCCTCTTTGGGGAATGGCACCACCTGCCTGGAGTTTGCATGTTCTTCTCCTATATGAGCAGCTTGGTGGGTAAATGGTTAGCACTACCACCTGGCAGTACTGCAGTTGCTGGTTTGAATCCCAGCCATGGCACCACCTGCCTGGAGTTTGCAAGTTCTCCCTGTGCCTGCATGGGTTTCCTCTAGGTAGTCCGGCTTCCTCCCACACTCCAAAGACATGCTGATAGGTTCATTGGCTCCTGTCTACATTGGCCTTAGTATGTGTATGTATGAATGTGAGTTAGGGACCTTAGATTGTACACTCCTCAGGGGCGGGGACTGATGTGAATCCACAATATATATTGGCAGCTTGGTAGCTAAATGGTTAGCACTACGGCCTGGCGGTGCTGAAGTTGCTAGTTTGAATCCCAGCCATGGCACCACCTGCCTGGAGATTGCATGTTCTCCCTGTGCCTGCATGAGTTTCCTCCAGGTTCCTCCCACGCTCCAAAAACATGCCGGTAGGTGAACTGGCTCCTGTCTAAATTGTCCCTAGTATGTTTGTGTATTGATTGGGAGTTAGGGACCTTAGATTGTACGCCCCTTGAGGGTTAGGGACCTTAGATTGTACGCCCCTTGAGGGTTAGGGACCTTAGATTGTATGCCCCTTGAGGGTTAGAGACCTTAAATTGTACGCCCCTTGAGGGTTAGGGACCTTAGATTGTACACCCCTTGAGGGTGAGGGACCTTAGATTGTACCCCCCTTGAGGGTTAGGGACCTTAGATTGTATGCTCCTTGAGGTTTAGGGACCTTAGATTGTACACCCCTTGAGGGTTAGGGACCTTAGATTGTACACCCCTTGAGGGTTAGGGACCTTAGATTGTACACCCCTTGAGGGTTAGGGACCTTAGATTGTATGCTCCTTGAGGGTTAGGGACCTTATATTGTATGCTCCTTGAGGGTTAGGGACCAGGGGAGGACTGACCATTTGGAGACTTGGGCAGGGGCCGGGGTCAGTAGGGGGGGCCGGGGTCAGTAAAGATGTACTTAGCAAGGAAATGTCTATATAGAGAGCAAAGTCCTGTGGGTTTAATGATCCTGGGCAAAGGAGAGACTGAAAGGGAGATGGCTGCTCAAGTGGTGCATGTGCTTTCACATGTGACAACTACGGACCGTTCACTTAATGTGGTGGACTGTGCAGGGGCGGACTGACCATTTGGAAACTCGGGCACCGCCCAAGGGCCCGGGGTCAGTAGGGGGCCCCATGAGATGTCCCTGGTACCTTTTTCATAGGCTTTTTTGAGTTTAGGCAAGGACACAGGGGCCCCATGATCCGCTATTGCCCGGGGGCCCCATGATTTGTCAGTCCGCCCCTCTTAGGGACCTTAGATTGTATACCCCTTGAGGGTTAGGGACCTTAGATTGTACGCCCCTTGAGGTTTAGGGACCTTAGATTGTACACCTCTTGAGGGTGAGGGACCTTAGTTTGTACACCCCTTGAGGGTTAGGGACCTTAGATTGTACGCCCCTTGAGGTTTAGGGACCTTAGATTGTACGCCCCTTGAGGGTGAGGGACCTTAGATTGTACGCCCCTTAAGGGTTAGGGACCTTAGATTGTACGCCCCTTAAGGGTGAGGGACCTTAGATTGTACGCCCCTTGAGGTTAGGGACTGATGTGAATGTACTATATATATGTAAAGTGCTGCATAAATTGACATCGCTATATAAGTACCTGAAATAAATACGTAAATAAAAGGCTGATCTAAACGCACGCATTTGTATAACATTTCTTTTTTTTTTTTAACAAAGATTCTGGTACACATGAAATCCACCATTAAATGCAGGTTTGTATTCCTTTGAAAAAACAATCAAACTCAAGAACAAAACTGTAAAATATTGCAGCTTAATCACCATACAATATTCTCTGTTCCACCTTCACTTCATCAGCAGCCCCTTTGTGTGAACGCACGCTGCGATGTAAAGATTGTTAAACGTGTAACCGAGTATATTTTATGGTGATTACATTGCCACGATACACTGCTCACTCACAGCAAACATCATCTCACTTTTCCTGGAAGCAGGGAAGATACGTTTTATACAAAATATATTGCGACTTACCAGTCCTTATATGTGGTGGCTGCCAATGTACTGAATTTCCGAAGCAGGAAGAGCTCAAGACACTTTCAGGTTGGAGCAACACGGGCTGTGATTAGTAAATGAGACTGCAAAGAGTTATGGATACGCAAACCTTTTGTTTGACTTCATCTTAACCGCTTTCCCCGCCGCCGTATAGCAGATATACTGCTACATGGCGCGCCGGGTGCGCAAAATCAGGTATATATAGATGTGATTTTGCATTTCCGGGTAGGGGCAGGGGCGTATTTACGACAAAGCAAACAAGGTATTTGCCTAGGGTGGCATTTTTTAGGGGGGCAGCACTGCTCCCTGGAAGAAGGGACATATGCGGCATGGGGATCAGGTGGGATCCAAGAGAGGCTGTGGGCTGCTTGATGGTGTAGGCAAAGCCCAACTGTCGTTTCCAGGGATGTCCAGATATGTGAAGGTTAGTGTCTCTCTCTGCCGCCATGGGTGGGTGGTAAATGTTAGCAGAAGGCTCTCCCAGGTGGGAGGATGGGGTAGGGGTGTTGTTGGTCACTGTCAGACACTCCCCGTGGTTTGGGGGGGGGGGGGGGGCGGTGTTGGTCAGTGTGAGGCGGGGGGGGTCTGATTTTTGTCTTGCCTAGGGCAGCACAAAACCAGGGGCGGACTGACCATTTGGAAACTCGGGCACTGCCCAAGGGCTCGGGGTCAGTAGGGGGCCCCATGAGATGCCATTGGTACCTTTTTCATAGGCTTTTTTGAGTTTGGGCAAGGACACAGGGGCCCCATGATCCCCTATTGCCCAGGGGGCCCATGAGTTGTCAGTCTTCCCCTGCGCAAAACCTAAAATCCACCACTGGGTAGGGGGCGCACGCAACCAGCGCGCACGCTCTACAGGCACCGCAATTCGCGGCCACGGATGTCAATCACCAGGTCCCGGTGGGTGATTACCAGCATTTGTACTCTTCCTCCCTGTCAGCTCGGGCACACTGCACAACACAGCCATTCTGATCAGTGTGAGAACAGTGAAGAACCCCTGCCCCCTAGTAAAACAATCCCTGCACACAGTTAACCCTTTGATCGCCCTTTCATATTAACCCCTCCCTGCCCAGTGCCATTAGTATAGTGTCAGTGCTGTTTTTTAGCACTTATCACTGTATTGGTGTCACTAGGGATGTCAGTGACACCAAGTTAGTTCCTCCCCAGTGTCAGAAAACCTGTCACAATCCCACTAAAAGTCGCTGATCGCCGCCATTGTTAGTAATAAAAAAAAAATCCCAGTATCTATACTGCCATTTGTAGAGCCTATAACTTTCATGTAAACCAAATATTTTACACGTGTTGGGATTTTTCTTCAGCAAAGACACGGAGCAGAATACATTTTGGCCTAAATTTATGAGGAAATTTCATTTTTTTTACATGTTTAATAGCAAAAAGTCCAAAATATTGTTTTTTTATCAAAATTGTCAGTCTTTCAAAAAAATAGAAAACCCACAGGTGATCAAATACCACCAAAAGAAAGCTCGATTCGTGGGGAAGAAAGGACTTAACCCCTCCCCCTCCTGAGGATTTACCCCCCCTTAATGACCACGCCTCTTTTTGCTACTCGGCGCTGCACTCATTCAACTGATAATTGCGCGGTCATGCAATGCTGCACCCAAACGAAATTTACGTCCTTTTTTTTCACACAAATAGAGCTTTCTTTCGGTGGTATTTGATCACCTGTGCGCTTTTTATTTTTCACGCTATAAACATAAAAAGGCTAAAAATTTTGAAGCAAAACAATATTTTTTACTTTCAGCTATAAAAAATATATAGTAAACTCAAAGTTGGTTATAAATTTAGGCCAAAATGTATTCTGCTCCATGTTTTTGGTAAAAAAAAATCCCAATAAGTGTATATTGATTGCTTTGTGTGAAGTTATAGCGTCTACAATCTATGGTATAGATACTGCAATTTACAACACCATTTTTCTGCTATACAGCGCTGCGCTAGTTTAACGGACAATTGCGCGGTCATGCAATACGATACATAAATGAAATTTTCCCCACAAATTGAGCTTTCTTTTGGTGGTATTTGATCGCCTGTGCGGTTTTTATTTTTTGCGCTATAAAAAAAAAGTCTGACAATTTTGAGGAAAAAAAAACAATATTTTGGACTTTTTGCTATAAAACATGTCCAGTAAAAAAAAATGCAAAAATCAAATTTAGTCATAAATTTCTGCCAAAATGCATTCTGCGACATGTCTTTGCTAAAAAAAACCCAATACGTGTAAATTAATTGGTTTACGTGAAAGTTATAGCGTTTACAAATGGCGGGAAAGATACTGGGATTTTTAGATTTTTTTTAAATACTAATAATGGAGGCGACCAGCGACTTATGGCGGGACTGCGGCGGACATTCTGACATTGGGGGGTACTGACTTGGGGTCATTGACATCCCCAAAAACACTAATACAGTGATCAGTGCAAAAAAAAAAAAAAAAAACTGGCACTGTACTAATGGCACTGGGGAGGAACGGGTTAACTTTATTTTGCAGGGAAGGGTTATAGGAGTGAGGGGAGTGTTTTACTAGGGGGCGGGGCGGGGGGCGGGGTGTGTACTGGGCTAGACAAGGCTGATTGAGAAAGAGAAACTCTTCTTTCTCAATCAGCTCATCCTCGAGCTGACAGGGAAGTGACAGACAGCACAGCTACTGCAGCTGTGCTCTCTGTCACTGTTTGCCGCCAATCGCCGGGAGATAGCCGCTAAGGAGCGGCTGTGACCCGGCGACTCACATCTGTGGCGGTGATCGGCGGGACAAATAGGGCGCCGGGGGCCCCATGAGT